TTTTCTATCAGTTCTTGCGACAGTTTTGCAGTATTTATAGCAGTTTTGCAGTTTTTCTAGCAGTTTTTGCAGTTTTTCTATCGGTTTTGTAATAGTTTTGCAGTTTTTATCAGTTCTTGCGACAGTTTTGTAGTATTTATAGCAGTTACTGTAGTTTGATTTTTCAGCTTTTAAGATTAAAAAGTTGCTATATATTAATAATACCACAATTACGCATTACGCAACATTATGTCACACTAAAAAGTATCAGGGTCAGCTCGTGGTTTAAATAATTATTTAAAACATATGAGCTCAGCGGCGATAAAACATCTATTGTGTGGTCACTGGGTATCTATTATTCAGATATTTATTATTTGAATTTTAGATAGGCCCCTCCTAAAATCATGGGGGGCAATTTGGCGATGAGTCATCATCTTGTGGTCTGTCCAAAAGTGGGCGGGGCTTAGCGGGTCGTGAAAAGTGGAGGGGGTAAAGTGGGCGGGGCTTAGCGGGTCGGAAAAAAGTGGAGGGGGTGGTCTCAACCGACGGAATACCTACTTATATATATAAATATATATATTATGTATATATTATATATATATATATATATAAACTGCTCGTCATAAAAATCGACGCACCTAGTTTTTCTGATTCTTTTACTCTTATGTCTAAATTTGGGAATCCGATATTTTGCACATAGCATTATACTACAGGGTGTTAAACGAAGAGATGTATTTTTTCCAAAATTTCAAGTTATTCTCATTCATGAGGCAGTAGAGTAATCCCTCGGAAAGTATTTGAGATTTTGTGAATATCGCGGCTTAACTACGATTATATGCCAATTTTTCAAAAATTGTCGTTATTTCCCAGTTTAGTCAAAAAAATGAGCAATAGTGGATTCTTTGACTTATGTATAATTTTGAGAATACGATATTGTGCACATAGTATTATACTACAGGGTGTTAAAAAAAGGGATGTTTTTTTTCCAAAATTTCAAATCCCCATTCACAGGGCAGTTGAGCTTGATAGTCGTAATACCCCTTTCTAGTAACAGGTAATCCCTCGGGATATTTTCGAGATTTTGTATAATATATAATTTGGATAACTACGATTATATGGCAATTTTTTGAAAATTCACGTTAGTCCCAAAAATGAGCTATGTGCACAATATCTTATTCCTAAAATTAAATAGGAGTCAAAAAATCAACTTTTGCTAATTTTTTGGACTAAAATGGAGAATAACGACATAATTTCGAAAAATTGCTTTATAATCGTAGTTACCCAAGATATCCACAAAATCTCGAAAACGTCCCGAGGGATTACCTAAATGGTATTAGGAAGGGGTATTAGGACTGTCAAGCTCAACTGCCCTGTGAATGGGGATTTGGAATTTGAGAAAAAAACATATCTTTTTTTAACACCCTGTAGTATCATGATATGTGCACAATATCCTATTTTCAAAATTGGACATAAGAGTCAAAAATCAAATATTGCTCATTTTTTGGTCTAAAATAAAGAATAACGTGAATTTTCGAAAAATTGCCATATAATCGTGGTTAGCCAAGATATTCACAAAATCTCTAAAACGTCCCGATGGATAACCTAAGTGTTATTAGGAAGGGGTATTACGACTATCAAGCTCAACTACCCTGTGAATGGGGATTTGAAATTTTGGAGAAAAAAAACATCCCTTTTTTACACCCTGTAGTATAATGCTATTTGCACAATATCTCAAAATTAGACGTAAGGCAAAGAATCCACTATTGCTCATTTTTTGGACTAAACTGGGAAATAACGACAATTTTCGAAAAATTGGCATATAATCGTAGTAAGCCGGGATATTCACAAAATCTCGAAAACGTTCCGAGGGATTACCTTACTTATATTAGGGAGGGGTATTACGACTATTAAGCTCAACTGCCTAATGAATGGGAATAACTTGAAATTTCGGAAAAAATACATCTCTTCGTTTAACACTCTGTAGTATAATGCTATGTGCAAAATATCGTATTCCCAAAATTAGACATAAGAGTCAAAGAATCAGCAATTCAGAACTTCCAAAGATTTTCAAAATCGATTCAGTAATTTTCCAATAACGATCTTTCAAATATTTCCCAAAAAACTAGGTGCGTCGATTTTTATGAGGAGCAGTTTATATATATATTGGTAAAAGATTTGTTTTAAATTTTACAACTAAGGTTTTTTTTTCTTTATTCATACGGGAATTGTTTGCAAGAGTTTGTGTTATTATTTTTATTATGTATTTTATATTAAGAGATACATACGTATTTTTTTTTTTTTTTTTTTGATAAGACCTGAATAAATGTTTAATCGTGTTATTTTTATTTCATATCGCCTATTTTAGGCGGTTTAGGCCTATTAAAGGCACATTCGGTCTAAAACGGCCTAAAATGTAGGTTGCCTAATTTCCAATTTTTAAGGGCCTAAAATCCGCTCTTTGTACATCAGTCTACAGTACAATAGTGCATCGGGTAACTTACAATATTGCACTTTTAAAAAAAGAATTTATTTTTATGCCACCCAATGAAGAGCATCAAGTGGTGTCTGATTTTTTTTGCATTGCCGGAATGCCTAGAGTTATTGGGGCCATAAATTGTACTCACATTAAAATTGAATCACCAGGAGGGGAGCGAGCTAAACTATATCGAAATCGAAAGGGATACTTTTCTTATAATGTTCAGTGTATTTGTGATTCGCTCCTTAAAATCAGACACAATATTGCACGCTGGCCTGGCTCAGTACACGATAGCATTATTTTTAATGACTACCCTTTATCGGTTCAATTTGAAAATGGAGATTATAAAAATAACTTTCTTTTGGGTCATAATGGTTACCCATGTAAAATTTTTCTCCTAACACCTCTTTTAAACCCACGACGCGGTAATGAGAGTCGTTATAATCGCTCTCACATTTCAACAAGAAACACTATTGAACGGTGTTTTGGGGTCCTAAAAAGAAGATTTCCATGCTTACATCTTGGTATGGCAATAAAAAAAGATAGTGTCCTGATGGTTATAATGGCTTGTGCTATTCTTCATAACATGGCAATAGATTTAAAATACCCACTTCCACCCGATGAATTTCCTTTTAAAGATGAGGAAGAACCTGAACCTTTTTATTGTTGGTGGCATCTGTTCGTTTATTTTCCAAAACTGCTTTATGCCTAAAAAGATGGAATAGGTATAAGAATAAGTGAGAAAGGATTGTCACTCAAACATTTTAGGTACAGGTAGTAATTAGTAATTTTTAGAAGAAAAAAAATGCTCAAATAAAACTTACATTTCCACCAACTCCAACAATAATTGTCTATCCATCTCTGAGGCTTTAGGTCCCCTTTTTATTTTATTCTCCATTTAATAAACAACACCAAACGCTCTGACTAGACAAATATTCAATTTGAATGATTTAAAATACGAATTTCAAATCGAACCAGAGAGAATCGAACTGTCACACATTAAACGGTTAAAAAAAGAATATTATAGTCAATTCCATTTAAGAATAAAGTAGATGTCGCTGCAAAACGAGACAGGTTTACACAGGAGTACGCGGCAAATTTAAATATAATGGCGGTTGTCGTTGATAGAATTTTAATATGTTACAACAAATATGCACAAATCATAGCAACCCTGAATGTACCATACCATGAAAAAATAATTTACTATACTAATTAAGACCTTTAGACACATAAAAATACATGTATTATATTATTTTCAGAAAATAAGAATAAATAAACATTAATTTGAGCAACATAACCTCAATTATTTAACTGCATTCCTTATTTAAATGTCAGTTCATTTTTTTATGTGGAAAATAGTACATATTTTAATGTTTTAATAAATGTTTATGATTTTATAATATAAAAATTTGGTTATTAATAAATATATCACTTCGCAGAGTATGCAATTGTTCCATAGTGTGGTTATTGGCTACGGTTAAATATCTACACTAGATTTTTTCATTCTCATCCACCTTTTTAAAAGCATTTGAATTCTCTCTATCAGAAATGTTTCGTTGCTGTAGTTTATTTATATAAAATCGTATCCTCGTTCAATAGTTCGACGATGCGTGGTAAGGTAAACAAATAGTACAAATCTTCGTCATGAAATGACGATCTCTCCTAACTAACCTGAGTATAAAATGTTTTGAATATTGATAAAAACACCCGAACTTAATGAAATATGTTTATCTGTTTTTCATGTTATTTTATTCACTTATTATTTATACTGCATTCTTGTGATTATGACCCATATGACTATGTTTTGTTTTGTATTTTATTTTTTATTTGAATTGTGTAAGTCGCCAGGGATTTTATGGTCCCTTTTCCCTGTGCTCTGACTCAACGGGCCACCCCTTTGTCTTTGCTTCAATTAAATCAGGGGTTTCAAATTAAATACTTGTGTTTCATTAAACCTGACCAATTCCAAAATAACGTTATTATCAATGTACGTAAATACACAACGTAGAGTCCTAATTTTTATAAAGTTATCTAGACGATCACGAATATGCCAAAATAAGTATTTCAGTAAACTTAAAGAATCGGGTTACAAAAATACATAGTGTACATTACATTTTACCGAATTTTATTAAAAATGTAAGATAAATTAAATGGTAAATGAACGGAAAAAATATTTGTTTCTTTGAGTGTAAGCATACATCCATGGATTTGAAAAGTGCATTTTTTAATATAAAGTATACATATGTCCGCTTATTACGAACCCGGTAAAGCGAACTTTCGGTTAAAACGAACCAACTCAAATAATATCTACGAACCAAACTCCTAATTAGGTAATTTTGACGTGATTTGTCTGTAAAAGTTTTTTTTAATAATGATGCCTAATAATGTAAAAAGTTTCTGTAACATTGATAGTTACAATAATGAATTGTTAAATATGCCCAACTTGATGAAGGGCCTAAATATTCTGTATTTAAATGCCCGATCTATAAAAAATAAACTAGACAATATTGAACTCCTAACACACTAAATAAGGGAAAATATCAACATGCTGGTTATCTCAGAAACATGGGTATCGAAAGAAGAACAAGATTTTTATGGTTTACCAGGTTTCAAGGCTATCTTTGCCAGTCGCATAAAAAGAGGAGGTGGAGTCTACATACTTATAAGAAACAGCATAAAGTACAACACAGTCAAGGTAATAGACAAAACTGACATATCTTTTGTGCTTGTTAATTTGCAAGAACTCAATTTAAAAAGTCGACTTAATTACAATGTATATTAATATTTTGTTTGATATTCATGCACCGATAGAAACTAAAAGGGTAAGTAAACCAAAATCTCCGTGGTTAACACCAAATTAAAAAATCATTTTTAATGTACGTGACAAAGCTTTTACAAAGTTTAAATCCAAAAAAACTCCCGAAAATTGGGAAAATTATAAAATGTTGCGTAATTTTGCACGCTCGTCGTTAAATCGCGAAAAAGCTGCATACTTGCATTCTTTAAATAATCAATCTCAAAAAGATATGTGGAAGGGCCTGAATGTCTTAAATATTCATAATAAAAGTAAACCAGATATTCCTGCGTCTCTAAAGGATCCCGACAAAATTAACGATTATTTTACTTCCGTATTTAGTAAATCAAATTCATGCTCTAATAATACTGAATTTTATAATTCAAACTTGTATAAAAATGACCTAAAATTTAAACATAAGTTAGCAACTGTTCAGGATATTAAAGATGAAATTTTTTCTCTTAAATCAAATGCTAGCGGCTTAGATAATATTTATCTACAGATGGTTAAATTATGTTTTCCTGCTATTATGTACCATCTTACACATATTATAAATTGTTGTTTGGAACAACGTTATTTTCCTAAAAACTGGAGGGGCTCATTAATATGCCCGTTACCTAAAACCAATAAGCCCGAGTCCACATCTGATCTAAGACCAATAAGTCTGCTTAGTACAGTTTCAAAAATCTTTGAAAAAATTATTGCTTTACAGATTACAAATTTTTTTAACGAAAATAACTTTTTTCCAAAATATCAATCTGGCTTTCGAAAAGCTCATAGTACTTCAACAGCTTTATTAAATTTATTCGACAAAATCATAAATAATTAGGATAAAAAACTTGTATCTGTTTTAATATCTCTTGACTTCTCAAAAGCATTTGATACTATTAACTCTGATCTGTTATGCGCTAAGTTACATTATTATAGTTTTGATGATATCTCTATCAATCTCTTTAAATCCTATTTATCAGAAAGGTATCAAATTGTTACAGTCGACAATAAGAAATCACGTCCAGCTAATATTATTTTTGGTGTGCTTCAGGGGTCGATTCTTGGTCCTCTGTTATTCGTGATTTATACAGCAGATATTTTTGAATGCGCCGATGCCCACCTACAAGGATATGCAGATGATTCACTTTATGTTTATATATCTAACCCAGAAAAAATAGACGATGCTTCGGTAGATATAAACAGAGATCTAAAGATAATTTTTGAATACTCCAGTACTCATAATCTTAAACTAAATGCTGACAAAACGGTTTCCTTGGTATTTTGTTCAGACAAAAAACGACCTCAGATTGAAAATTCTCTTAACTTACATATTAATGGAATTCCACTTAATTTTTCTAAAAAGGCAAAAATATTGGGTGTAACTATTGACCAGAAGTTAAAGGTTTGCGATCATACAAATAAATTAATACAAAATGCATATGTTAGGTTAAAAGTATTATATGCAAATAGAGACATTTTAAATTGGAAAATTAAAAAAAAACTATGTGAATCACTTGTTTTGTCAGTTTTTAGTTATTGCAATCTTGTTTACTACCCATTTCTCAACAAAACAACTAAAAATCGAATACAGATGGTGCAGAATACCTGCTGTAGACTTATTTGCAATGTCCGTAAATTTGACCATATTTCTACAAGTTTCAGAAGTCTCAATTGCTTAAACATGGATAATACACACTATCTTACCTATACTACTTTTCTTCATAAATTAATACAATCTTCAGCACCTTTATATTTAAGAGAAAAAATATTTTTTAGGAGCGATATACATAGTCGTAACATACGCAACAACTCCCTTACTATTCCCCAACACCACACCGCTCTTTTTAAAACATCTTTTAGTTATATGGCTGCATATCTGTATAACTCATTAAAACCAGGATTCACTAACTTTAAGCCAAACACATTTAGAAAAAAAAGCCTATGTTCAAAAGCAAGGTTAGTTTACCTTTTAATTACACAACATTTAAGGTGTGCAATTTAATTTATTTATCAACAGTGTTCTAAAATCTTTTATTTTTTCTTTTGTAGTATAATATTATTCCTTATGTATTTTTATGGTTAAGTGTAAGATTGATTTTTATAATCAAACTTCGCAATTTTGATATATGTATATAAGTATGTATGTCAAATAAAGTCGTTTATTATTATTATTATTATTATTAAGTGTTTTATTACCAAATGTCCTATCTGTAGGAAGTCTAACTAAAAAATCACACAAACTAACGTAAGTGATAACTTTTTCAAAAATTTGGAAAGCTAAAGACTTTTTCAGTAACTTTCACACAAAATTATTTTTCTTGAAAAACATACTTTTCTGTGTATTAAAATCAAAAATTCACTTTAAGTAGTTTTCCGGTAATTCCGAGAAATATTAAACCAATTTTCGTTTTTTCGCTTTACTGGAAATATATAAAATGTTACTTATGACACTATGTGTGGAAGGCGACGACATATTCTACTACTCTACGAGCACGGCTAAGTCGATAATTAAATATTATTTCGTTAGATCCTTTTTGATGCACTCCTGAGTAGGGTTTCATTATGTTTTCGGTAAGAGAAAAAGCCTCATCAGCTATAAAGTCATAGGGTATTTGTTTTTCTCTGTTTTCCAAAGGTGTTAATAACCCGATACTATAAAAGAATTATTTTTTTCAGGACGAAGTCAGCGAGGAAACTAGTACTAATGCTAATAAAACTGAAAACATGAATGTAAATTTGAGTATGCATCTCAGCCTAGCGAAAACAGGGAAGAGAACGATGACAATTTTGCAAATCCTACACAAATTGAAGAAAATAGTGGCGCAACCAGTAACTCGGACTTAGTGTCAGATTTCAAAAAAGAAAAGGAAAAGTTTATGAAACCACCAACACCGAAGCGTAAAAAACAATCTTAAACCGATAGCGTGAAAAATTTTCTACAACAACCAGATGATCCAACTTTAATGTATACGCAACATTTGGCTAATAAACTGAGGCAGTTTTCAGGAAGAACAAAAGCTATGATTGAACACACTATTGACCAAATTATTTTTGAGGCAGAGATGGGACAATATGATAACCCTCTCTTCAGAACACAAGTACCAACTCCTGCTTTTTCTCCAAATGCAGCGCAAGGGTCTCCTTGGTCAGCTCACAGTAACAGTTCGTCGAATGATAACCCTCACTTCAGAACACAAGTACAACTCCTGCTTCTTCTACAAATGCAGCGCAAGGGCCTCCTTGGTCAGCTCACAGTAGCAGTTCGTCGAATGATAACCCTCACTTCAGAACACAAGTACCAGCTCCTGCTTTTTCTCCAAATGCAACGCAAGGGTCTCCTTGGTCAGCTCACAGCAACAGTTCGTCGAATGATAACCCTCACTTCAGAAGTACCAAATCCTGCTTTTTCTTCAAATGCAGCGCAAGGGTCTCCTTGGTCCAACCAGAAGAACAAGCACAGGTGGAAGACAACCTACTTACTGTGCTGCAGCCTTTTATTACATTGAAGCGTAGTGTCGTGTTCAGAAAAATAAAAAATAATAATGGGAACAAGATTTTAGTTTCATTATTCCTAGTAATAGCTAACTCTTTTTCAAAACCTTACTTTTACGTAAGAATCAATAAGTGCAGTGCAAACTTCTGGCACTATTTCTGAGATGTTTCGAGATTTTAAACAGATACTGCAAACTTGAATAAGAATCTTCTGTGGCCAAAAATTGTAAAGTGAGAGCTAGCCTTTCTTCAACTAATAAAGACTTTCTGAAATTTGTGTCCATTTTCTTTGTTTTAGGTTCAACCAACTTAAGTAAAATTTGAAAATCGGCTTGTGACATTCGTACAAAATTTTTATAGGTTTTCACCTTCACTCTGGTTTTTATACTGAAAAAGTTTTGTTGTCAAATAACGTCTATGTTTTCCATTTTCTTTCTTCTTATTATTATTTTGTTGTAGGTAATTCAGTATTATATAAACCGCGCACTTATTTTACTAATAAGTTGGGAGGACATGATGGCACCCAAATAATAACTATATATAGATAGACGCTCCCAAAGATAATCCTACTTATTTATCTTTTTTGACGCTAGACACAAATATTTCAAAAACTAAAAAAGGGTCATTTGACGCAAATCTCTTTGAAGTTGTCAGATAAACCGATAGACCGGTGGATAGCGTGTGTTGTAGCTGGCGAAAATATTTGCGTGTTTTTTGTGTGGCGCACAGTCCATACCTATAAATATTCTGACGAACACGAGCAAATTTGCGTCAAATACAACGAACAACGTAAATATTTATGGACCCGGGTATCAAAATTAAAACGCAATAAGAGGATGTTATGGTCAGTTCCTCTAAAAGAATAAATATAATCTCTGTGGGAGAGAAATTTAAGGAATCTTCTATGTACGTTATAATACGGGTACCAAATAGGTGAGCAATATTTGAGCTTTGTTCTAACAAGATAATAATACATTGATTTTAGTTACAAAAATTGGTAGAATTCCGACGTATAAAACCTAGGAGCTTTAAAGCAGATTGCACAGTATTATTGATATGAGATGTAAAAGAAAGCTTATTATCAAAGAGTACACCAAGGTCACAAATTTCATGACAGCAAGGAAGAATAGTATTATCTAAGGTGTAATTAAATATGATTTTCGTATTTTTAAGACTTAGTTGGCCTATGGGAGCTCGTGGGTTTTGTTCTCGTATGAGGGTACCCGTTACAAATAACTAATTTAATCTGACCTTTAATCTGGAGAAAATTGTAGCGGCTTCGGTTAGATGATGTCGGATGGATTTTCACACACTGACCCACACGCGTCGAATCACCCAGAAAACTTCACACATGATCACCGTTCACTGTATACTTACTACTTGACTTAAATTGATTCAAGGTTTTCTTATAAAACAGACAGTAGTAATAAAGCGATATTTTAAACCATATAAATATATTAACAAACAAGGAAATAACAATAAAAATGAAAAGATAAAAATAAGGAAAATTAAGTTACGTTATATTAAGTTACGTAAAATTAAAAATAAGTAATTAAAGTTAAGCCAGAGATTTAATCAAAGAGAACTAGTTTACAACACAGACTAGAACTCTAGATTAAGAATTTTGACTAAACGTAAACTAAAAGAAGATGTAACAAATAATAAAACTAATAAAATGAATGAAATAAACTATCAGAGTAAATCTAATCTAAACAAAATTGGTTTGAAATATTTTATTATTATTTCGCATATGTTGAGGATTTCTAAACCTTTCTAAGAAACTTGTAATTGCAGCTCTTTCCAAGAATTATTTTAACCGTCTTTTTTCCCTATTACAGCCATCTTAAAATAATGCTTAACTGATACTGAAAGAGTTTGCAATCTGTATAGCTGCAAATACTGGTAAATATTTTTAGGTCATCAGGAAACAATAGATGATTACAATTAAGTTTTAATGACAAATCATTAATAAATAAAATGAACAAAAGCGGACCCAAGTTAGAGCCTTGTGGTACTTGCATAGAAATAATCGGAGTTATAGCCATTATATGAAACAGATAATTTGCGCGCACACAAAATAAATAAAACAAATTAATAATTATAATAATAATAAATAAATTAAATGCTTAAAACTATTTATACTTGTACAGTCTTTAATTTGTTTTGGCAATTTGTTAAACAATTTTATACCATTCACCAAAACATTTTTACAGGTATGGGTTTTATTAAAGTTTTCCACATAAAAATCTGTTATATTTCTAGTATTATAAGTATGTATTTGGTGAATTGGTACTAATCTATAATTTAAATAGTTTGGGGACAAACCAATTTTTATCTTAAATAAAAACATGAATGCATTGTATGTAATATACTGTTAAACATTCATTATATTAAGAGTTTCTAACATTAGGTTTATAGGTGTATATCTATTACAATTTAATATCAATCTCATAACTTTATTTTGCAGCTTTTGTAGTTTATCAAGTTCGTTTTTACCTATTCCAAACAAAATACTTGACCAAAAATTGAAATGAGGAGTAACTATAGATTTATATAATAATAATTTAACATACATTGAAATACAACCACTTGTTCTACTTAAAAAAAAATACTTTTTTAGAGATTTTATTTAACAAATAGTTTACATTTAAAATTTAAGTTGTTATCCAACATTACTCCAAGATACTTTATATTATTTACTCTTTCCAATTCAACATCATTAATGCATAATTTAAAATTATTTAAATCATGACTATATCCAATAACCATATATTTGGATTTTTTAATATTTAGGCACATATTATTACCACACAGCCAGTTAAAAATATTTTCAAGTTCGATATTTACAGTATTAAATAAATCATTTAAATTATCTCCACAAACATAAAGCATCGTATCATCAGCAAACGTAGATATTAATACATTTATTAACACATTTAATAATATCATTAATATACAGGATAAACAGTAAAGGACCCAACACAGTGCCTTGAGGGACACCATACAAAGAACTACATTTACTAGATACAACATTGTTAACTTTAGTAACTTGTACTCTATTATTTAAATAAGACTTAAACCATTCTAATGCATTATCACAGATACCCATTTTGCTTAGTTTATTTAAAAGTAATTCCTATCTATAGTTTCAAAAGCACGCTTAAAATCTAAAAATACAGTTAAAATCATGTTGTTTTTATCAATTTCTCGAAGCCACTTATCACAGTTGTCGATTATCACAGATTCACATGAATGGTTCTTCCTAAAGCCTGATTGGTTTTGAACAATAATGTTGTATTTATCACAGTAATTTATAATTTGGTCTTTAACACAGATTTCTAGAATTTTTTCATAGGGTGGAACCACATTTATTGGTGGAAACTCTTCTGGGAACTGGTATGACACATGATTTCTTCCACTCAGTCGGAAATACTCCTTCTTGAGGAGAAGTATTTATTACATCAAGGAGTCTATTGGCAGCTACTAAACAGGCATCTTTTAAAATTGGAACTGATATACCATCCAGAACTTCTCCTGTGTTTTTTAATGTTTTTATAATTTTCTTTAAATTTTCCAAATCTACACATTTAAATTTGTTAAAGCTCGCAGCAAAAGATACATTTTCAAGAATATCCACACTTCGTTAAGGTATATTCTTTACTAAATCTTCAATACTTTCTAGAAAAAATATATTGAAATTCTCAGATAATTCAGTGTTACTTTCTACCATTTTATTGTTGAATTTAACCTTTGATATGCCTTCATTTTTGTTATTTGGTAATAAGGTTTTTAAATTTTTCCATAAACTGTTGCTGTTGTGCTTATTATTGTCGAGTATGGTAATAAAATATTTTTCTTTGGAAATTTTATCCATTTTTACTACACTGTTACGTGCCTTTTTGAATTCCTCCCAATCTGTTTCCAAATGAGTAAATACAGCTCTTTTATATAACATATTCCTCTTTTTTACAAGTTCCATTATTGTTGGATTTAACCATTTATTATTCTCAAACTTTTTTTCAGATTAAATCTTATTAAAACTATAACTAATAGTTTGTGTAAAGTAATTTGCCATATTATTTACATCATTACTATTAGTCCAATTTTTAGCCAGTATTTCATTTTGCAATATGTTGGAATTGTAATTTTTTAAATTTCTTTTTGAAATAATAGTACTTTTCTGTACTGAATGAGTATGAGTATGGGAACGTATGGCAGGCCCCAAAGACATTATCCTCCACTAATCTCCCAGGATTATTTTACCCCCTTTTCGTTCTCCTGCGTATCCCGCCAAATCACAGCATTACCTGTGTTTGTTGGATCCGAAGTTTTTACGCCGGCTGGTAGATCCACCCTAGGAGGTCGTGGATGACAGTGTCTATGGTTAAGGCCGCTCCACGGATTTTTGTCAGCCGGGTCGGGCCATACGTCCAGTTTAGGAAGGGTTTTTGGAGGACATTGAACTGACCTAAAACTAAGTACAATCCGGAATCCTCCTCAACCAGGGCTTTAGTAGTAACCCCATTCAGTTGGGATATGCTGAATGGGGGTAGGTGGATTAGTATGCTGCTAGAGCCTATCCTTGATGGTGTATTTCTGAACATCTCTGTCCGAGTCAGTATCAGGTTCCTGGTAACCTCTTTAGAATTGTTTGCCCCCCTGTGTGATACTGAGTCTTGTCTTCCGTACCGAAGTGTTGACGGCCAGGACACACCGTAAGTGCCCTCTGCCTTGGTGGATATTCCTCCTGCCGAGTACCGGCTACCAACCTTGTATATTCTTTATTTATTTTATTGCTAAATTAGTGTTTATACTGTTTTCATTTAATTTATATCTTTGCATTCTTACTTTTTTTTCCAAATTTTAATTTAAAAATATAAATATTAATATACAAAATAGATAAAGCCGGCCCTGTAGTGTAGGTAATTGGTATGCAGCCATATGGCCTGCATTGGCTATTGAGTCGTTCTTCTTATCTTCTGTGATGTTATTGTATTTTTTGAGCTTATGTTTA